AAAAATACAAAAAAATTAGCCAGGTGCAGTGGCAAGCGCCTGTAATCCCAGCTACTCGGGAGGCTGAGGCAAGAGAATCACTTGAACCCAGGGGGCGGAGATTGCAGCGAGCCAAGATCGCACTACTGCACTCCAACCTGGGCAACAAGAGCGAAACTCTGGTCTCTAAAAAAAAAAAAAAAAAAGAAGTATGTGAGCCCCAGGGCCCCTGAACAGGAGGAAGGTGAGAGCAGACAGGGCAGGGGCCCCTCCCTGGACCTCCTTCCAAGGTCATGGTGCCCTGTGCAGGGTGTCCCTGCCAGTCCCTCGAGGCCTAGCCCAGTAGATAAGGTCCTTTCTTGGAAACAGGAGGCAAAGTTATGAAAGTTAAGAGGGCTGGGAGAGGGGCAGGGCCTGGGCAAGGCCCGCCAGGCGACGGCAGGTGCAGCGTGTCTGGTTGCGATAAGGAAGGGACACCCCCCCCCGACCAGCTGGGAGAGGCTCAGGCCGGCCCGTGCTGCCCTCGGTAGGAGCTTCTCCGCGCACAGATGCAGAGGCGTCCGGGATGCCCAGCGGCAGCCCCATGCCTGAAGAAGTCAGTTTGAAAAGTAAGGTCTTCCGGATGCAATTCGGGAGGGAGGCACAGTCCTCCTCGGGCAGGGCTGCCAGCGCTGGGGGCCAGGGATGCTTCCAGCGTCACATCCCTGGCAAATGAGGAAAGGCTACGTTTCCCTCCTGCTGGCTGATAAGCCGGTGCAGTTATTTTTGGCAGCCCAGGGTTCCCCTCCGACAGGATAAACAAATCACATTTTCTCCTGGCCCCGGTAACCGCCACACATTGCGCAGAAAGCCTGCTGGCGGCCGCACACAAACTCTCGGCGCCCAAATAAACACAAGCTCATTCCACTGGGCGCCTCTGCTCCTTGGACAGCTGGGGGAGCCACGGGGCTAGACTTAGGGGATTGGGGGCCGCTCCCTTCTCAGGAGGGTTTCGCTACCAGGGCGTCCAAGCAGAAGAGCCCAAGCAAACACACGCCCCGCTACGACAACTGGCTCTGCCTGAGTGAAAGTCCGTAACGCAGGCCTCCGACCAAGCTCTCCCTGGCACGGAGGACACAGGCGCCGGCCGGGTCCAGCTCTGGGTGTTAAGAGGAAGTAAGGGAGGGAGGGAGGAGAGAAGGAAGGAAGACAGAACCATCCGCACAGTGACTGGCCTGCCCGGCCCGGCCCCGGCCCCGGCCCCAGCAAGCCGTACTTACTTCTTCACGTTGGCCTCCCCGTTGGGGATCCTTCGTAACTTCTTCTTCTTGAGGATCTTGACGGCCCTCCTGCACAGCGTCTCCGAGTCCAGCACCTCCTTCACCTTGCCGTAAGAGCCTTCCCCCAGCAGGTCCCCCATCAGGTACTTGCCGATGAGCTTGGCCCGCTTGCGGCGCGGCTGGTAGATGACCTCGGTGGAGTCGATGCGGTGGATGAACGTGTCCATGCCCACCGACATCAGCTCGCCCTCCGTGAACATGCCCAGCTGCTGCGGGTCCACCACCTCCATGCTGGACCCAGGGTCCTGGAGTCCCGCCGCCAGCCCTGAGTCCGCGGGTGAGCGGTCCTTGTGTTCCGACTTCCCTTCTCCAAAATTTTACAAAGAAAAAAGAAAGAAAAAAAGGCAACAAAAACCCCAAAAGGAAGGGAAAAACCCTTCTTCCAACAGAAACGATTGTCCTACACGTCAGTCCCGGCTGCGAGTCCGAGCCCGGTGCAGGGTCTGCAGACCCGCGGGCACCGGGCGTCCGGGACGGCGGCTCAGACGCGAGTTGCAGTGGGACCCGGGCCTCGGAACTGGGGAACGGCCCGGTCGGGGTCAACTTTGTCCTCGGAGGCCCTGGGTAGGCCGGCCGGGGCTTCTCAGTGCTAGGTCATCCTCCGGGGACCTCAGGCCCACGGACAAGCGTGAACACGGCCAAGCGCGGTCTTCTCCGGGCCGCCCAT